GCAGGCAGCACATTCCCCTGGAGGATTTCCCATTGTCCTGCAGAGCCTGGAGCTGCAGCAGCTGCTCCAGGGTGGTGCCTCCAGCTGGGAGCACCTTCCTGCCGTGCCCACAGCTGAACTCACTGGGGCAGAGCAGCAGCTGCCAGCCCTGCCTGGGAAAGGTGTCCTGGGAATGCTTGACCAGGCTCAAGGGCAGGCTACTCTACAAGAAAACACAACCTCCATGTGTAGCTTGTTTCTACACCAGTAACCATCTTTCAGTTGTTCAGTTCTTTCTTTGGTGTCTGTGCTAATCAAAAAACACAAGCTGAAGAATTGTAAAGTCTTGCAATACACAAAACAGTCTTGGTTTTAAAATCCATGCTGTTGCAGCATAATTTAAATGGTGTATTTATCAGTTTTAAATGTCATTTTGCTTTTCCAGTCTTTTGTATATGGGCACAATACTTTTTGTAAATTTTTTTTTATTTAGTTGTCTTTCATGTCTTTTCTTTCTGGTATTGGAAGATTTGAGCTCTCTGGGTTTTCACGGTACTCTTCTGATCATTCTTCATAGTGGTAAAAGTCTGTATTTTTGTATGTAGGAGAAATGGAAGTTTTCTAACACTTACCCCAATCAATATAGTATGGAATCATTTGTGAAGGACTTCCTGTTTAATAAATGGACATATTAAAGTACTAAAACAGTGTCTTCATCTGTAAACATGGCCTGGGCTGGGGTAATTTTCTTCCCAGTGGCTGGTGTGGGGCTGTTTTGGATGTGTGTTGATAATTCAGAGATGGTTTTGTTAATGCTGAGCTCACCCAGAGCCAAGGCTTTTCCTGCCCCTCGTGCTGCCATGCTGGGGAGGGGGTGGAGGTGCCTGGGAGGCTGAGGGGACACAGCCAGGACAGATGACCCCAGCTGAGCACAGGGGCATCCCACACTTATGGCATCAGTGTATGAAGGGGGAAGGAGGAAGAAGGGGGCACGTTTGGAGTGATGGAGTTTGACTTCCCAAGTCACCCTTCCAGGGGATGTGGCCCTGCTCTCCTGGAGGTGCTGAACACCTGCCTGCCCATGGGAATGAATTCCTTGTTTAGCTTTGCTTGTGTGCACAGCTTTTGCTTTCCCTATGAAATTGGCTTTATCTCACCACAGGAGTTTTCTCACTTTTCCCTTCCCCATTCTCTGCCTGATCCCATTGGAGGAGAGCAAGCCCTGTGGGGGCCTTGGGGGCTGCTGGGGTGAAACCACCCCAAGGGGGCTCCTGGGCTCAAAACAAAGCCAGGCAGCTGCAAAAGGCACTTTGTGTGTGGGGACAAACTCCCAGCACGGCAGCCCTGGCTGGGGCTGTGCCTGGGACCCTCCTGGGGGCAGGAGAAACCACGGGAGAGCCTTGGGGAGAGGCAGTGGAGCAGAGGGAACGTGGAACTGCTCTGCTGCTCTCAGGCTGGTGGTGGAATTGCTCTTGGAGCAGGTCTGGTGTGCTGCTATGGACTGCACTGCTCCATCCTGGCTCTGCAGCTGCCCATTTGGGACTGGAAAGGGATTTTGGGGCTGAAATGCCCCAGGGAGTGGGGGAACGCTGCTGCCTCACAGGCTGGGGCTGCCAGTGATGCTGGGGGGGTTTGGTTTCCAGGTGCTTTAGGCACAAGGTGGAAGCACTGAGTCCAGGTGAGAACTGTGCAAAGGCACGAGGGATGGGTGAATCTGGGATTTGGGAACGTGGCTGCTGCGCTCTGAACACCGGGAAGGGACCAGGGGCGGTGGGGAGGGGGACACAGGTGGTGGCACAAGGGAAGGATTCCCTGAGAGGATTCCCTGAGAGGCTCTTACAAGGGGCCAGTTCATTTTCCCTGGGTGGGGCTGTCAGCAGCACAGTGCCATTACCCAGGGTGGTATCCATGGCGCTCCTGGGGCAGGAGAAGTTTCATCAGCTGTCAAATTAAAAATAAAAAAAAAAAAAAATTGTCTTTTAGTTACTGGATCTTTCTTCAGTCTCCCTGGAAGACTGTAATTAATTTATTCATGGATCAGGCTAACAAAATGCGATGGGCTGTGTCCAAAATCCATAAAAGAAAAGGACAAGTATTTCCTGGTGACAATTAACATTGGAATCTATTTTCCTCTTCATGGAAGTGGATTTAAAACCTGACTTATTTTAAAAAATAACCAAAACCAAACAATCAACAAAACCCCACAAAAGCAATAGCAATAAAAAACCAAAGCAAAACCAAATCCCACCAACCAAAAAAAATCCTATCAACCCCAAACCTCCACCCAAGCTCCTCCTCCCCAGAGCCTCTAACAAAACCACACTTAAATTTTCTGGGTAGCACTGTTTTACTTTCTGGCCTGGAAGCTTTACAAAACACTGATCACTGAATTCTTCCAGTAAAGGAGTGTCCTAGGGTGACAATCTGTGTTGCAGTGTGGATTCCTTGATGCACTCCTGTTTATTGATCCCTGACATTTAAAGATCCTGACTTTTAAGCCAATACTCCACGCAAAAAGGTGTCTCAAGCATCTTGGAATGCTTGAGAAGATTTAGATTCTCAGTGCTTACCTAAATTTCTTCTGCTTCCTTGATGCATCCTCTCTGAGGATTAAAGGAGGGCCAGGTGGGGCTGCTCTGCACATGTGGCATTTGCCCTTGGAGGGCCATTTGTATCCTGGTGCAAATCTGGAGTGAAGCCACTCATGATGTTATTTCTGACCACAACTGTGCCCAGTGAACTTCCTTAGCAGAAGGACAATGAGTGGAACCAGGTGCTTGCTGAGCAGAGCATCCAATTGTGTTCTGCTTTCAGCATTCTAGGCTGCTCTCCACCACCACAGCAGCTGAGATGCTCTGCTCTTCCTTGGTGTCCTGGGAGTGACTCTGTCAGATGGGAACTGAAGACCTGAGGAACTTCAAACAGTATCAGGTGAAAAGCACAGTTAGGTGGAGTAATGGACAGAGTGTTCAAAGGATAACAGAGCCTCCTACTTCAGTCAGAATCTAAACCAGCTACTTGGAAAGGTATTTGAATTCCTTGGAAAGGTCTTTTGAACTCTTTAGTGTCACCTGTCCAAAAATCACTGCACAAGTCTGAACAAGTGCACAGGTAAATGGAAAAGCTTGGTAGGAGGGAGAGAGCCCTTCAGGCAGGTGAGAGCTGTGGGAACTCACCTGAGGTGCCACTTTCCCTTCCTGTCAGTGGCTTTGAGGTCATGGAACTCCTGGCATTGTTCCTACAAGGATTCATCCACACTTGGGGTTGGAAGCTCCTCCTCAGGCAGGCCCAGGAGCTCCAGGTGCTGCAATGAGGGCAGGGATTGGGCTCTGGGGGCTTTGGAAGCAGCTCCTCCATGGGACACGAGTGACTGTGATTGGAAAGAGGTGTCTGAGGAGGCCATGAAATCAGCACTCAGCTGGGCTCCACACTGCAGGTGGGGTGTTGTGCTTGTGTCCTGAATTGCAGAGAGTGCTCCCAGCACCCTTTTGATGTTGGCAGTTGAGGAAAAACAAGCAAACAAACAAAAAACCCAAAAAGCAAAGCTGACTTTTCCTCCACGTGCCCCAGAGCCTGAACTTAACTTGGTGCAGTATTTGTGGCAGAATATGGGCAGAAGACTGAGTCAGCCCCTTCCACCCCAATCCAAACTGGCTTTGAAGTAATTATTTTAAATCTGATTTTCTGAAATTTTATATCCCTAAGACACAGAACCATGTTTTCTTTCAGTCATGGGAACAGATCTTTTTTAACAAAAGGCTGGGATCTTACAGAAGTGCTTGACCCTGGGAGCAAACTGCTTTGAAATAATCTGAGCCATCAAGGACTAAAAAGCCTGTAAGGAAATTCTCTGGGCAGGCACCTCACTGCAAGCTGCTAAGGCACTCCTGAAGGAGCTAATGAACATTTTGTTTGCTGCCTGTTTACTTTAAACCAACATGGAAAAATGACCAGAAAACCTCAGTATATTTTGGGTTTGTGAGGGATGAACCTGAAGGGCACTTTGCTGTTTACAGGGTTATTGGTTGCCAAGAGAGAGCACTGAATCCACAATGTCTCCTCAATAGTTAGAACAAATTCTTGGGTAAATTTTTTCATCTCATGCCTTAAGGAAGAGGTTTGACCCCTGGCTGGTCCCCAGGGCTGGCTCTGAGCTGTGCCCCTTCCCCAGTACAGATTTAGGATTCCTGAAGTCACAGTCCCTCGTGCTGGGCAGAGGCAAAGCACCAAAATCAGGTAAGCAGGCAAAATCAGGTCTTCAAGTAAGTAAAGACACCCAACACTTCTATTAAAAGATGTTTAATCCAGCATGGTTTCTAAATATTAACCACGTCTCCAGCTGTGACATGCAGTACATTTTTTTACTTAAAAAAAAAAAAGAGAAATACAAAACAAGTATAAAAATGAGCCCAGGTCCCCTGAACATCACAGTGTGTGCCAGTAAAAATATGACAAGAGAAGGAAGAGAAACACGGGGTTTCATACAGGAAAAGGTTCAAAGAAATCTTTCTCATAAATCAGAGATTGTCTGTCCCATTTAGAAGCAACCACTTGTTTTGCATTTACTCTGTCAGTGGTCAGGAAGCAGGAGATGTGGGAGCTGCCTGCTGGACAACTCTGAGCCTGAGCAGCACCCCCTGGTCCCTGCCAGCTCCCCTGTCCTGCTGGCAGCTGCCACAGGGAACTGGAACCCAGGTGCTGATTTCATTCCAAAGGAAATCTGTCTTTATTCTTTCATCCCTGGTTTTCACTTACTGTGTTAGTACCATCTGCCCTCATTTTAATCACACCTGTTCTGGCACTGTATTCATTTTTAAAACATCCATAAAGGTTTCTTTGTCACAGACCTGTGTGATGCCACCTGTGAGGAGTGTGCCACTCTCTTCCCAAGCATTCCCAAGTGTCTATAAATGGACACAGATATTCCAGGGTAGGTTGTGCTACCTGTGAAAACAGCTTGGACATTCTGAGGGCTTTTTCCCTGGAATGCCCCACCACAAGATATCACATCCTTCCAGGGGAGAAAAACCAACCAACCCACCCCACCCAGCCCCACTGAAAAAGGGGGCTGGGGAGATGAATTCATTGCAGACATTCTGTAGTTTGGGGCTGTTTCTTGGCCTTTTCACAGTGGGGAGGGGGCACTGCCCTCCTGGGGCCTGGGTGCATTCAGTGTGGCAGCAGCAGTGGCCATGGCCCAGAGCAGGACATCAGCACAGGTGCCTGGGGCACAAACAGCTGCAGGTGTCACCAGGCAGGCCCTGCTGGGAGGCATTTGCCAAGCCTGCCTTCCCAGGGCTTCCACAACAACAGGACAGGGCTGCCAGAGCTGCCTCACCTGCTCCACCCCATCCTGTGGTGAAACTGCAGTAGAGGGGATGTGACTCCATCCAAGCAGCTTTAAACAAGGGATACTGAGGGTTTTATGAGCCAGCTGCCCTGCAGCACCATTATACTTTGAGGTTTGCTCTTGCTGCAGATTTCCAGTTGTCACTTTTCCTTGTCACAGATAGACAGGAGATACAAAGGTATTGATAACAGCACTCCTTGCCTTCAGTGCTTGGAGTATTCAAACAGGATAAAGAAATACTGTTAGTTAATCAAGAAAAATAAAAACAGGCATCCAAACCTCTCCTCTTTGGCATGTCAAGAAGTATAAAAGCTCTAAGTGTTAAAGGTTTGGAATGATGAAAGCACATTAAAAGCTGTAAATGTTAAAAATGCTGTTCCCACTTGGGACAGGGATGTGCTGGGTGGGGAGGGGCAACAGAGAATTGAGCTGTGTTGTTTGGACAGATCTGCTGTAGGATCTGTAGTTGCCAAGGAGTGTTCAATGGCACTGGGAGCAGTCTCCTTTTCCACATCACTGCCCTGTCTGGGCTCTGGTGATTCCATTAACAGTGAAGTGGAAAGGGGCTGAAATGAGGGAATATTTCAATTGGCAGTGCATTCAGCAAAGAGGAAAGTGCTTGATCATCTTCCCTTCACGCTTGGTTGGTGTTTGGTTCTTCAGTCTGAGTCAGAGTCGGAGTCCTCATCTGAGGAGTGAAACAAGGAACAAAAGTGAAAATGCAAACTGGAAACCCCCCCAGCTGTGGCTCTGGCTGGGACAGAGAGGCTGTGCTGACAGGGTGAGCCTCCCAGGACACAGCAGGGCTGGGAATGAACACCCCTGTGAAGTGACAGCTCTTGCTGAGGTGGTGGGACCTGGAATGGTGTTTGAAGGAGTTGGGAGATGCTGCTGAGAGGCCCTGCTGGCATCCTTGCTGCTCTGGGCACTGCTGTGTGCTCAGCAGCCCTCCACCTCTGAGATGCTGAGCAGTCCCAGCAGGCCCACAGAGCTGCATCCTTCTGGCCTCAGCACTCAGGAGCCCCTGTGGAAGCACAAGCTGGGGCTGCAGGGCTGAGCCCTCCTTGCATGGCACAAACACCAACACGGAGCTGTGTGACTGCACTTCTGTGAGTTTATGTATTTGTGCCTCCATCTCCAGGGGAGTTAGATCTAATCTGTATCCTAATTCTGCACCCTTGCCACCTGAGCATCTTCTGAGGGCAGTTCAGTTTTTAGCTTTTACAGTCTGCTTCCTGTTCCTTTTATTCTTTTTTTCCTTTGTCTCTCTTTTCAGTCTATAGCTTGAAAAAACACTGAACAGTCTCCTAAAAACCCCAGAAGAGACAGTCAGTGCTGCTGATCACCTCCTAGGATTCCATACACACCTTGGGTGTTTGGTTTTTCAGGGGTTTTAGATGAGGTGTTTTTGGGGGATTTGGGATATTTTTTATTTGTTTTTAAGTGTGGAGCAGTCTTTTTAATCCATGTGGGTGCAATAAGAAGTCACAGGGACATGATGCCTGATTTGGGCTCCTGGAAACTACAGAATGACTACCCCTGTCCTGACCTGAACTGGCTTTGAACACCCCACACCTTCTTTTTATCTTCTCCTAAGTGGATCTGTCTGACCTGAAGTAGGCTATAATAGAAAAAAAATTGACAGCAACCTTGTTAATTTTATGCTGTTTGACCCTTGGATTTTAAGGTCATTTGCCCACAAATGGTCAAAGATCTTAAGAGGCAATCATGATAAGGAAATGATAAAGAGAAAAGCACTATTTGGACACAAAAAGCTGTAGATTAATGGATGTTAATTATAAGTTACAAAAAAAAAAAAGGTAGAAGTTTGCTTGTTTTTACAGCAAGACATTTTAATAGGGAAAGAAAATCTGTACTGCATGGTGATTTCTATAATTGGATCTGGGGCTTTTCAAAGTTAGATGTGAAACTCTGAGAAACTTCACATTCCTGGCTTGCAGGTTATCTTCATAAATCACTGGAATTCCATTTGCAGCTTCCTAACTGAGCAGAGCTGTGGCAGACAAACCCAAGAATAGAAACTGCTCTTACTGAGCAAGAGCTCTTGCTCCCTGCAAAGGGTGAAATGGAGAGGGAAATCTCACACTGCAGCTCGTGTGACAAGCAGGGAATTTTACCCACCTTCTGTCTTGTGCCCCTCGGGGGAATCGGAGCTGCCTTGCTTGAGGAAAGTGACCAGGTCATTGAAGGTGATGTAGAAATCAACGGCAAACACAATGGTGGCTGCAAACCCAAACACCTGCAAGGGCAGAATAATGCTCTCCTTAACAACAGCTCCAGTCTGTCAGGGACAAACCAAACCCACACAGGAAAAACTCCATGGTTTTTTTGGCCCGTGCCTTTCCAAAAAGGCAGGGAGGAGAAATGGTTTGGGACACGTTGGTATCACCTGAATTACAGCTGCTTTGGGAGCCTGAGAAGTGACCAGGGGTGTCTTTATCCCTGCCCCAGGCTGCAGCCCTCTTGGGCTCTGGGCCTGTTCTGGCCATCAGCACCTCCTGCACCTCCACTGTCCCAGGGCACCTCTGCCACCAAGGAATCACCTCCATTTCTTGGGAAATAATTTTCCACTTGTTTGCAAGGAGATGAGTCTATTGCTGAGTGAACTAGACAGATTAAAATGATTCTGGAATTCTCTCTCCAGTGACAGAGCAGCAGAGTTGTGCCAAGCTGGATGCTGGTCTAGGAGCCTGAGCTGAACAAACTCCATTGCACCATGGCTCACTGCAGGGACAAAGATTAAACAAGATTTGGGTTTGTGTTGTGGGATGGTTTGGGAAGGGCTGCTGGCCCCCACCATTGGGCACTGTTCTTCCCAAGCTTAAAAAATTGCTATGCAATTTTATTTATATTGCATACATTATTGATGCTTAGAGTCAAGTTGCAGATGCAGGGGCTGTATTGTATTTCTGTATTTCAAAATGCTGATGGGTGAAGGCTCTCTCCTGGGCAGTCCTTGTACAGGAAGGTAAAATGACACTGCTCTTGTTTCAACTCATCCAAATAAAACTAAGCAGGAGGGAGGTTGAAATTACTTAATTTAGACTGGCCTTAGCAGTTACAGGTTTGAGGGTTTTTTTTTGTTTTTAATCATCATCATCATCATTATTATTATTCCCTCCATTCAAGGAGCTTCACACTCCTTGCAGGAGCAGCTAGTAAAATTATAAAGCAGAATAGGTGCCTTCCCCAAGGGTACAGTTAACACTGAGCAGCTCTGTTAGGGTGAAAAAACTATTCATTGGTTCAAGACATGTTTTTCTGAGTAAGTGACCATTTCTTCTCTGCTTTAAGCAAATTAATTCTCATTTAATTGAAGAAATGTCTATGACTTGCAGTGGGGTGATATTTAAACTGTTTTTAAAGTGCATCCATGTACTGAAGTGTACTCAGTTCAGCACAGCACTCAGGTGGAAAGCTCATGCCTACTCACCCCTGCTGCTTTCGATGCTCCATCGCTGTATTTTGAGACAGCAGCAATTGAAATGGCAAAATAAATGATGGCAGCGGTGACACAGCGCAAGAAATCCTGTGGAAGAAGCAATGGTGCCCTCAGACTGGTCAAGGATTTCCTCTAAAACCATCCTGGGAACTAACACTCAGCCCCTCTGTTGCTGCATCAGTGCCTCTGCTGGCGTGTGACCACAGCCTGGATTGCTGCAGAGGAGGAGCTGCTCATCTGTGAAATAGTTCTAAATAACACAAGACCTGAACCTTGGCATAAACTTCTCCTCTTAAAGATGCTGGGATAAATCCTGCTGCTACCCTGCCTGTGTCAGGCAGACCTTCCCTCAGCCTGGGAAGAAGGGCTGTGTGGGGTGTTTGCCTTGGAGCACAGCAAGGGCTTTAATGGAAAGATCATTTGAAATGCCTTAAAAACCTTGTGCAGAACTCCTTGGAGCAGAACTCCTGTGGCACCAGAGGCTCAGGAGGTCCCAGCTCTGTGGGAACAGGTGCCTGTCTCTCTGTGTGGTGATCTCCTGGGAGACCTGTCTGTGAACTCCTCATTCAGGAACCAAACACTTGGGTTAGTGCTGGAATGATTTGTACTTCTCACATCCACCAGCCTGCCCCAGGAGCCCGTGCCTGGTGTGATCCCTGGGGTATGTCCTGCTGAGCTGTGCCTGTCACACCAGCAGGGACATCTCTGCAGTGAGCTTTAAACACAGAGCTGTGTCCCAGGGCACATCCAAATCATGAGGGCTGCAATAAAGGCACCCTCAGCTCTGTTCACAATTAGCTCTTCTGCTTTCCCAGAACAGATGGAGGAGTCAGATTTGTCTCAAAGCACAAATCCTGCAAGAAACCTGACTCCTCTGAAGTCAGGACAAGGTCAGTTATCTACATTGTGTGCCTGCAATATGTTATGGTAATGGCCATAATAAACACACAAGTGCCTTTTTTGTCTTAGTTCTGGAACCGGATGCATGTAGAAAATGGGAAAATGATGGAACAGAGATTACCAGCTGAGAGCTGTGCACAGTCATAGCCAAAGTCACTGATATTGTTTTATCTACGAGTGGCCTTGCTGAAGTTATTTTTATACACTGAGAGCTCAAATTCAAATCTCACTGCAATGAACTACTGATGGTACCAAAAGAGAATCGAGATTGATAAGATCAGCAGGGTTTTTTGAAGTATTTGTACTGCAAGGCAGCTGCTCCCTTTGCAGTGATATTTGAGACTGCAGGGACATCCAGTGGCCAGGGCTCTCCTGCAGCCCCAGCAGTGCCCCAGCAGCCACTGGGCTCCTTTGTGAGCATGAACTGGCCAGAGCTGCCCCTTCCCAGAGCAGCTCAGTTTGTCTGTGGGTGTAACTCTACCTGAAAATTTAATCACAGCCTGACAAAGTCTGCCCATTATCAACAACACACCTGTTTCCCCCTCTACAAGGGTGGCAATAAGGAGCCCCCAGCAGTCAGACTTGGGCTGATGCTGGCCCTAAGCCACCTGCCTGGAATTGGGCATACATTCTGCTCTTTGATAAAGCCATGCTTTGTGTCAGCACTCAAAAAGCTGCAGTGCAGAGCAGAGCATAGTTTAGAGTGCTCTGGGACCTTCTGAAGCAGAGGCAGCAGGGACAAGTTTCTAAGAGAGCAGTAAAATTGTTACAGTGACCCTGAACTCCTGCCCAGCCACTTTGCCTCCCCTCTCACTGCACAATTAAATCTGAAGGTTTCTGTTGCACATCTCACTTACCGCCAAAGGCCAGTGGACTCCTTTAAACTTCTCATTAAGCTTGGAGGCGTAGGCAAAAAAAAGAAACAGTGCCAGCAGAAACTCTAGGAGTGGTGCCATCATGAAAGAAGCTGCTAGAGATGCAATATAGCAGATAAAGATGATAAATGACAGCACCTAAAGTAAAGGGAAAACTCGAAGTTATTTGCATGGAACAGCAGAGCCGTAGGCAGCTGAGCAGCTTTGAAGTGTTATTTTCCCTGTGTATTTCTGTCAGGGCTGCTGCTGCTGCTGGCACAGCTTCAGCATCCTACTTTTTCTATTTTTCATTGGGCCAAATGATTTTTCTTGTTCAGCCCAGAATAAATCTGAAGTAAGGGTGTTTATTTCCACGTGTGTGAAATCGCTTTTCCGGAGCGCTGCGCGCATTTGCACCTCTCGAAGTCAGTAATTTGCTCTGGATTGTAAACAGCTCTGACAACATAATTCTGAAAATAGAGTGGGGTGTTGCCAAGCAAGCAGAGCTCTAAGCTTTCAGCTGTGACAGCTCTCATTTGAAACCCAAATCAGTGCTCAGACAGCCTGAAGTAACTCAGCATGTATAATCTTGGAGTTGAAAGAATAAAGTCTGCTGATGATGGACAGAAAAGGGCCAAGAATTAATTGTTCTGTGACTTCTGGAAGTGTCTGGTTCCAGTTTTCCAGCGTGGCAGCTGTTTTAGACAGTAATAGGACAGATAACTCCCATAGATTTCCTTTATCTCCATAATGTATCCTAATTCTAGTAAATAATAAAAAATGGCAATATCTTCTGCACTCAATTGAAATACCTTTAGAATATGGTTCAAAATAGAAAGTTTCACAACAGGAAAACAACAGAAGTAAATGTATTTTCACCCAAACCAGGCAGTACCAGAGTGCTGTCCTACACTCCTGGACTGTGTTTGTACAAGTGGATGGTGAGGGAGCCATGGAGAAGCTCAAGACCATTTTCAGTTGCTGTACTGGGGTTGGTCACCTCCAAAAAGAAGCTCCAGTCCTCCTGTTTAACTGCCTTGCATGGGAACTGGTTGCTGTTTCAATCAAATTAGCTTGAAGTAACAAAAGTAGGCAGGATGCTGAATGACACATTTTTATGTACCAGTTTGCACCTGGGCTCTCTGTCCAGCCTTTCCTCCTGGAGACAAATCTCTGCCTTCCAAAAGCTCAGGGATGCTTTTGGTCAGCACACACTGAGCAGTAGATTACAAAGATTTTTTTTAACTTCTAATTCCAAATCAGGACACTAACATTCCCACTCACACAGCACTGAAAATAAATGGATTATTTTCCCCCAGATGGCACATCTAAAGGCAGATGTAACTTCCTGCAAAGGTAATCAATGCATTTGCCTCATTAAATTTCAGCTCTGTGGATTTCTTTGTTTGCTGCTACCATAGGTTCTTGGGGACCACCTAAACTTCAGAAAAAAAATCATCATTACACTTGACTGGTAAGGCTCCTGTAATTATTAATTGGTAATTACTCCTATGAGAGGTCATTCAACCCTCAAATACATGTATCAAAAAAACCTTTTATGTTTAGGGGACAACTAAGCAGTTCAATCCCACTGAAATCATTTCTTGGTGTAAATAATTACCAAGCCTTTATTCTCAGCCTGTGTTTTGGGGAAAGCAGTCAGTGCCTGAGCAGGATGCTAACAGCTGCAATAAACTGTTTTCATCCATTAGGACTGGCTGGTGAGGTTAGAGAGGATGTGACATTTTTAGTAAGGGATGATATTTAAGGTCTATGCATTGTTCTTGTTTCACTGGTTCTAAGAAACTGAGCTGGGATAGTTTATAGAGCTCACTTCTGCATGGGCCTGCTAGCTGGTAGAGCTGCCCCATTTGTTCATGTTGACCCCACTGAGTTGTTTTCTGCTCAAAGAGCCTCTCTGCAGGTTTTTCTTATTTTCATAAAGCAGAGGGAGGTCATTCCCTGTATCTCATCCTTAGTGTAGCATTTTCTTCCTATGAGCTAAAAGTGGTAAGAACTCTTTAAAGGGAAGTGGATTTATCAGAGCTTGACAAGTCCTAAGAGGAGAGAGGACTTCCTTCTTCCCATCACAGCATCTATTGCCTTCCCACCCCAAAGAACAAAAACTGCAGTTGCTTTGTGAATCTGCTTCACTTGCATTTCTGGAACATAATTTAGACACAGTTCCATGTCTTTTTGGAATAAAAAAAAAAATCACCATCTATACATGACATTTTCTTTTTGTTCTGGTGCTGAAAAAATATCTTCCTTTTTGTGGCTAAAGCAGGTGTGTGGTGGCTGAGCTGCAGGGGTGACCAGCAGCAGGGAGATGGGTTCAGGGCAGGTCCCACTGCCCACAACCCTTCCAATAGCAGATCCTTAGACTTGAACTAAACCTAGTGATCTCTTCAGAGAGGATTCAATGCAGTGTTAAATCATACATGCTACTGGAGCAGTGAGGGGAGGCAGAGAGGCAGATTTCAGATATGTAAGGTGATGCTGCACAGCAGAGATGCCTTTGATCTCGATTCTCTTTGCCTCAGTAACTCCTGTGCTCTCACTGCTTTTGCACTGACAAAAAAGCTTTCCTGATCAAGTGTAAAGTGAAAGGAAGAGCTTTGTGGTCTGTTCTTATCAGCTTTATGGCAATTTGTGCCAGGGAAGGCTCCTGCTGTCTCCTTCAGCCCTGGGCAGGCGTGAGGTTCACACACGAGCTGGACTCAGGGTGAAAGAGGAGCAGGACCACACCAAGGAGCCCCTGATCCCAGGTGCTGGGGTGCCAGGGGATCCCTGCTTCTGTGCCAGGGAGGCTGCTGAAGAGACACAGCAGTCTGAGCATTTCAACCTTCTGAATGGTCTGACCCAGAGAAGCTGGGGAAATATTAGTTGTTTATTTTAAAATGTGGTTTCCGGGCCAGTCACTTGTTTAACCCAAGCCCTGCATGAGTGGCAGATGACAGCAGTGTCCTGCTGCCTGCTCCTCTGCCCTGAAGGTCAGTCACTGTATTCCCACCTTCCCACCCTCAGGGGTGGGATTCACTCCAGCCTGTCCTGCTCTCCACTTGGCAGCAGCCCCTTGTGGGGAGAACTGCACCTCTAAACACACTGAAGAAAAAGGCACCTTTTGATTCAAAAGAACCCATTTGATTTCAGTAGATTACTGATGGTATTAGTAAAGGGGAAAGACTCTGAAGACTGGTAACTGGTCTGCAGTTAAACATCATTCTTCATTCTGGAGGCACTCAAGATTTTATGTGAAATAAATGTCTAGAAAAGAACAGACCAGATTTTGAGAATGAAGATTGGGAAGATGGTATTTTTAGATACCTTCACTGGGGGAAGGCACAGGAAGGGGAGGGAGGCAGACCTTGGAAAGAGCCAGAGGATCAGGAGGAAGGAGGTGCCCAAGGTCTGTCAGGTGATGACCATGGCACTGCACCTTGGCACTGCACCTGGCTCTTTGGTTTTCTTCTTTTCTGTCTCCTGTCACTGCCCTGACAGGGATTTTAATGCCAAACTTCCTTGGTAGCTTGGGAACAGCCCTGTGTAATAGAAGAGCCCACAAATTGTAGGGTTTTGATGATGTTTCTCATTTCTCCTTGTGTAGAGCTCATTTCCTCTTCTGACAGCTGGAATGCACAGCTGTGGACTCCTGGAGCAATACTGGATATCACCTCTAACTGTCTTTTCTGAATTACAGAAGTGAGCAGGTGCCTTTTCTGACCATTTAAGTGCACTGCTACTAACTCAAGCGTTCAATGTTATCTTAAAATTTTAAAAATACTCCTCCCCTCCCACAATACAAACACTGCAGTGCCACTCTGTACTCAGAAATAATGACACCTCCCTACATACTTTTCCAGGCTTCAAGTCTTCGTGAAAAACATCTTGCAAACTGAAAGGTGCTCTAAAAACTCAACAGCACCTTTCAGAATATACCTGAGCCCTCCAAGGACTGTCAGATGTTCCATTGCACATCACATTTGTGCACCTCTGCACCTCTTTTCCTGGAGCTGTGTGTTTCAGGGTCACTTCAGAGAAAGGTCAAGCAATGGACCTTGTTTTTTGTTAGAGCTCTGTATCTGTGCTTAAAAAAAAAAAAAGGCAGCTAGAGAGGAAGTCTGAGAGTCTCCATGCCATTGCAAGTTCATTTCTAGCACTTTCAGAAAGCACTGCAGCTTCTGGGAGGGAAAAAAAACCAGCAGCAGTGTTTTATCAGTTTTGCCAATTTGTATTTACCACAGCTTCTTTCTCTTCCCCTCACTTGGGATTGCACCCTGAGCACTGAGAGCAGCTGAGTCTGAGCTCTTCCTGAGCTGCTGATGACAGGTTGGTGTGACTGCTGCCAGCTTCACAGTGAAGGAATATCTGCATGCAGGAAGCTCTAATGCAGCAAAGAGCAGAATAGGAACCTTTCATAGCTTGGCAAAAAAATAATAAAAAATCCTGGCAAAAAAGCAGCCTGACTGTTCACTAAGCACCTTTTATGTACACTCTCATTCACACAAAACCCTTCTTGGGTACTGTGTTTCAGAAAGTAACTTTCCCATTTAATCCCATACAATTATTACTTAATATTGTGTTCTTAGAGTGGCCAGGCATTACAAAGTTATACTTTACTGTACAGCCAGTTTGCAGTTCAAGGCCTAAAAAACAATCCTGACAGTGGTTAGAGAGCACAATGTGCCTGAAGGGAGGGAGGCCTGAGCAGGGCTGAGGTCATGGCAGCTCCAGAGGCGTTTGGAGGAGGGAGAACAGATCTGCTGGACCCCACTGGGAATATGGGGATGCTGGGAGGCATCACTGCACCAGCTCCTCATCTCCTGCCCCTCATCTCCTGCCCCTCATCTCCTGCCCCTCATCTCCTGCTCCCATCTCCTGCCCCTCATCTCCTGCCCCTCATCTCCTGCTCCTCATCTCCTGCCCCTCATCTCCTGCTCCCACCTCCTGCCCCTCATCTCCTGCTCCCACCTCCTGCCCCTCATCTCCTGCTCCCATCTCCTGCCCCTCATCTCCTGCTCCTCATCTCCTGCCCCTCATCTCCTGCCCCTCATCTCCTGCTCCCATCTCCTGCTCCTCATCTCCTGCCCCTCATCTCCTGCTCCTCATCTCCTGCTCCCACCTCCTGCCCCTCATCTCCTGCCCCTCATCTCCTGCTC